GCAAAGCTGGCTCATCTGTGAAATGGGGCTTTCAAGGCCCCTGACATCAAAGACTCCAAAGCTGGCCCCATCAAGGCAGAGCAGGGACTGGCCTTGCATTATAACAAATTAAAGCAACTTTGTGAATCGTAGGGAAACATGAGGGCCCAGGTTTTGCTTCATAAATTGGGCTGTTGTTTTGACGTGGGAGTGGGTGCTCAGAATCTACTGCTGGCCTGCAAACAAGTTGTGTCCAGTTGGCAAAAACACGAAGCCTTTGCAGAAAGTCTCCGGGTAAATAAAACTCAATCCTGATTCAATAACAACCTGTGAATATTTCCCGGCAACTTCTCTCCAGCCTGAATTTTCCATGAGTTTTAACTTTTAAGAGGGCATGGAACAACTCTGCTCTGGTAATAAAGAGTGCCCTGCTTCTATGACACTTGTTATCTCATAGGATGCCCGAAGCGCTTTGTGATGGAGCTGCATGCAGAAATCCCTTCACCGTGGCCATTGAGCCTGTTTCAGGACAGCAGCGAGAGCAACGAGATATGCGGCAGACACAGAGTGTAAAGCACCGTGCTTTCCAGGGGGTGAAAGGGCAATTTTGGCCATGACCTCAGTGTTGATAATTAAAAGCCTCATACACTGAGATGTGTCAAGTCTCATGGAAAAAAAAAAAAAAAAAGAAGGCGGTGGCTCTTCCTTTCAGCCCCAGCTCACACCTCCCTGCGGAGCACTGGCATCTCAGCTGCTTGCCAGAAGGCATGTGGCATTTCAGGCCTTGTACGGCCAGATGTGGTCTTTGGAGGCGAAGGGGTTACATGTGTTTCTCACTTGTCCCCAAGTCTATTGTGTCTCAATGGGGGAGCCTTCTCTTTCATTTTTTTTTTTCTGACAGGGCAGCATGCTCTGTGAAACTAAATTGTGTGGTGAGGGCACCTAAATCATGTACACAGTGGGTGTTTTTCTAGTCCCGGCTACTCGTGACATAAAATTAGTCAGTGATTATTTTTCAAGGCAGGTTTTCCACTTCGTCTTCCAACTGGCTGCTCTCCTAAGCCCGTGATACTGTCCAAGAAGTCCAGTACAGGATGACCTTCCATTAGAGGTCAGCGAAAAGGGAGCTCGTAGGAAACTTCAGTGGCTCATCCTTCTTAGCACAGCCTCTTGCAGCCATCCCCCGGCAGCCAAGCTGGCAACTCTGCGCGTCGAGTCCCCACCACCCTTCGGCTGCAGGATGATATTTTTCGTCTGTACTTATCACTCTGGCCTGCTTGCCTCTCTGGGGGGTGGCAAGAGTATGAATGAGTAATCAGCTTATTAGATCATTTCTGAATATGGCTAAGACTCGTGTGGCTTTTGCTCTTAACTTACCGTTTTGTATGTTGCTCATATATATCTGAATCTGAGTTGTTTCCATAGGTCTGCTGCCTGGACTGTTTGGAGAGCATTGGGGTGAAATGCACACAGCAGTCTCCTGACCTGGCACTATTAAACATATGTTACAGGTCTGGTTGCTTTTGCTCACTGATACAACTCAGAGCTTGCTTTAGACTTCAAGTTTGGGCTGAACTCCTCTGAACATAGAGGAAATTTGGTTTTACTTTCAGCATCATAGCTTGGATCTTCCTGTATAGGTGAGCAAGGTGACCGCAGAGTCTTCGTGGAACACAGAAATATCCACCATAAACAAAGAATTCCTAGCCCAGGGAACAGAACAAGCTGCAAACCTGTTTCCCTGCCGTAGGAAACCACCCGATGTTAAAATTTAAAAAAGAAAGAAATTTTACAAAAGCAAAAAGTGTGGAGAGACAGATGCTTCCTATGTGGGCATGGTCCTACCTTCGGAAGAGGCAGGTGGGAGTCCAAATCTTGGTGATATCTCGACCACTCTTAGAGTCTTCCATTCTAAGAGATAGCAGTCTCGTGATGGGCAGTTTAGGTTTATATAGTAATATGCTCTTTATTGACTCTGTAATACCACAGTTGAACTTAGGACATTCACCTAAGGTGCAAGAGAGGAGGTTCAAATCCTGTCTCTGAATGCAGCAGAAGAGGGCCTTGACCCTGGGTCACTCACATGGAGGCGAAAGCTTTATGGTTTTATTACCAGCAATGCTGCTGATTACTCACACTTTTAAACTTGACCAGAGATTCTTGAGTTTCAGGAATTCTCCTGAAATCAGCTTTTCTGATTTTCATCCAGTTGCTGTATTTCATGAATTAGCCTTTTTTTCATAGAGTTCCCAAATACAAGGTAGTCCAGATACCATCACACTCAACATACTAGCTAGGAAGCCAGGTCTCTAGATATTGGAGTGGAGGCTTCTGTGTCACTCCTTCATCCACATTCAGCTCCAGACTGGGGACAGGGTAGTTTGCATCTATGTGAGTTGAGTTTCCATGTCCATGACATTTTTTTTTTCCCCAGAGACTTTCCTCTATGTTTTATCAATAAAGTCGCTACATTCCCAACAAACATGCAACTGGTCCCAGTGGGTCTAAAATAACCTGCATAAATACACACAGTTATTTATTTAGAACTTGCTCCCCTGCCAAAATATTTATTCCATAGGCTCAGTTCGGTGGCATTCTGCTGCTCTCTGCTCAAAAAAATCATTTTTTTTTCTGGGCTTGTTAGGTTACCCCACAGGTTTGGGACTTGGCAGGATAACAACCCAATAGGCATCTTCAAAGGGTCAATGCAATTCGGAGCAATTTTACCGACATCAAAAGCTTGGCAGCGTGTCAGGAGGTGCTGGGCATGCCAGGCAGGCGCTGCGGGTGAGCAGGAGGGGCGCGCGCGGGCCCACATACCGTAACATGAGGCAGGAGGCAAGGGAGGCTCTACCGCGCTTTGTACACGCAGGCACGCGGGATTAAGCTAGAATTGACGGAACATCGCCACTTCAGCGTCTTGGCCACTTCTGAAATATTCAGCAGCTTAACAATGGGCGGGAATCCTACATCTTTTTTCTTTTTTTTTTCCTCCATTGCCCAATGCATTTTTTTTAAATTGTGCTGAGGAATTTAGTAGGTGGGAGAATAGCCAAGCTTTCGCCTGTAGCCCTGATTGGTTTGCCACTGTGGTAAAGTGAAGTTTGTCTAACTCAGGGCCTGGGTTGCTCGCCCGTGAGGTGCGGAGGAGCCGCAGCCACCCGGTGTGTGCACGCAAGCACCGTTGTCCCCAGGCGCAGCTCTGCTTCTTCCCTGTGGGCCCGGGAAAGCCTCAGCGCGTCTCCTGTGACGGAGCAGGGCGAGGGGGAGGCGGGGGGGACGCTGAAGCCACGGCCCTGCGTGCCGCTGCCTTGGAAGTTTCCTTTTCCCCTTGGAGTGACAGCTGCGCATACCACAGGGGAGAACTTCGCTGCAGTGACCACGAGGAGAAGGGACGAACCCGCCAGGGCGAGGGGGAGCAGCGCCATGTGGCATTCAGCCGCTCCACTGAGGAGGCAGAGGCCAAGGAGAGCAGAGCTCGTGATGGCGGAAAGTGCCCCGTGCTAGGGAGCTCTGTTGGTTTTCCCAAAAGAGCAGGAGCGAGGAGGAAGATGGGGTTGAATGCACAGTGTTTGAACACAAAAGCTGCACCCGGGTTCCTCACCGGACACTCTACAGGCTGCATCCGTTCTCAAAAACAACTGTAAAGAGCAGCTCTGCTATTTGGAGATCACATTTTTGGGGGCGGGGGCATACCCAAGTATGGGCCAAGATAGGTTTTTCCTCTCTGCTGCAGAGATTAAATCATGGGATTTCCTCTTTTTTACCCTTGAGATATTTTTCATATGGATTTTAGGAATGGGCACATAGTGGGATTTGATCTTTGAGTCATGAATCTGGCCTCTTCTTGAGGGTTGTTTGATGACGTGGGAGATGCACCGCATTTCTGTGGTGGGCCATCTCCTTGCCTTCATCTGACCTTTCCTGAAAAGTCAAATTGCTCTTGCAAGACTGAAGTAATAATTCAGAGCTTTGTCTTGCAAACTTCAGACACTTAAATGCACTTTAACAAGAATGTGACTACCTCTTGATTTTTTTCTTTATCTCAAATCCTTCTGTCCTATGATGCTGCCTACCTGTGTCTGTACCTGTGGGGGAAGCCATGGAAGAACCATGCTCTTAGCTGGGCCATCACATCTCGCTGTCAACCATCCTCCACCTGGATCCCGCCGTCCTGTGTAATGCTTTGCTCTGAGAGGATGTTCTGAGATGAATACTTGTATGATAAATGTGAGGCACTTACTGTCTTTTGGCCCAGCCCTGGTGCTACAGAGACACCACTGCTTCTGTAGCTGTGGAAGAAGGCTCAATGTGCTCCTCTGCTCTCTCGTCCCTTGTCCCTGAAGATTGCCTTATTGCAGTAGCAATTTGAGATGGGGTTTGTGGAGGGGCAGAGGTCTCAGCCTTTAGTTGTTTCCACTAGCAGTATGGGGCCCATAGTGGAGATCTGGAGGCTGCTTGGTGATAATGGCAAGAGACAGCTATAGTGACAAGGGACAAAGTGTGTCATTGCTACAGATGAATGGGTGTTCTTAGCTTAAAAAAAAAATGCTTTTCTATTCAACACTGTGTCTTTCTCTACCCCTAGCTTTGCATTCAGTATGTCTTTGAGGGCTAATTTGACCCCAATAAGCCTGTTTGCTTCCCTGATCTTTTGTGGAAGCTTAAAGGTAAATTAGTTGCCCTAATTCTGCTGTTTGTTGTCTGTGTGACTGATCACAGAAGTCTTCCCCACCTCTTGGGTTTAATTAGCTGTAATTTTGATTTATACCATTATTTGCATAGAAAGTACAATTGATCAGATCCTCACAGGAAACAGCAACCTGTAAACTTAAACAAAGAGGCTTTTGTGATTAATGGAAACGTTGATTAATCTCCTGTTTTGTTGGTAGTCTGCCGAGCAAAAAACTAAATTGTTCATTAACCTGGCCAAGCTGTAAGTGCCAGGATGGGCATGCCAAATACAGGTTGAGTGCCTGCAGGAGACCTTCCTAACATCTTCCCTTTCCTCTCCTTTGCAGATGATGCCAGCTCAGGAAAGGACAGCCAGCTGCCCGAAGGCTCCAACGGAGAATATGAAGATCATTCTGGGAAGCAGTGGGGTAAGGGGACAGCATATGTTTTTTGGTTTTCCTCAGTTCCTGGTTCTGTGTCGTTCATCTAGAGCACATTGCTGTTGGAGGAGAGGAAAAGGCAGAGTGGCAGAGTTCTTGATACACATGGTCAAATGATAAAGTGAGCCTGAGCTGAATGTGCCGGTGTGAATTTCCAAGGGTTCTTCTGCAAAATGCAGCTGGTGACCAGCTCTGGGGCCCTCTGCCATATATCCCAGCATGGTTCTCCCTAGCATTTGTTTTTCTGCACAGTCTCTTTCCTTTATCCTGTGCAGCTATTATGGCTTTCATAGACTCTCTATAAAAGGCATACTGACTTTTAGAGCAACATTTCCAAAAGCCTTCAGTGCAAGCACAACACTGTTTCCACTGAGAGCAAATGGGAGGTCTGACTTCACTTCAGGAGAATTAGCATTAGGCCAAAGCGGAGTGTTTTTGAAAATTGCTCTCTCCTTTAGACACCTGTGTGAACTTCCCTAAGTCCCAGGCTGTTCAAGCTTACAATTCTGATGCAGTTGCAGAGCTTTGGGGAACTGCTAAAATCTCACTTGGAACACGTTCTGAGTCACTGCAAGGCTTGCAGATCCAAGCTTGGCCAAAGCACTCCTTTAAGGACAATAAGTTGTCGGGTTAATGCCAAACACATTTTGGCTTTTACTGACAGGACTGTGATGTGAGTTTATGACTCTGAGGGATGAGGCATAGCACTTCCATTTTGCTCTCACAGTGCATCTCTGCTTTTAGTTTATAATACAGAGATGGCTTTCTCCCACATTGGCCTCATAGCAGACATGGGGGTGGAACTTGCTAAGCTTCACCCGAAAAGTCTCCACCACCTAACCTGAGACCATTTTTGTCCAGGAGCTGCCAAAGAGGGAATCCGATGTGATGCGGTGTGGTCCATTCCACACCAAGGGAAGGGGCAGTGCCATAATAACCTTGAATTACCGATTCATTTGAACTTGAGCTTGTTGTGGGCGAGGATGGTAAGCTCCACTCATTCTGGAAAAGGATGAAAACATTTTAGAGCAAAGAAAAAGTGGTTTTGGATAAACACCATGTCAGGAGCCCCCTAGTATAGATTCAGCAGCTACCAAGAGAATCTGACTTCTCTCCACCCTTACCATAGTGGAGATAGGAATAGATGTTGAATGCCATGCAGATGTGCTTCAGAGAGAGCTGGTGGTGATGACAGTACTAATAATGACAGTACTATGATAGGAGATGCATGTAAACTAAAATTATCAATGATTTTATGGGCAACATGGAGTCTCTGGGACTAATCCATACACCTGGAGGTATTTCCCAGAAGAGGAGACATTGAACTCCCTTCCCAGGTGTTCATGCCAGCTCTCAGGAACTGCTTCATTTCTTTTTCATTAGTCTGGAGAAATTGTCATGGTAAACAGCGTTTCAGCAAGAAACCCATACACATACTGTTTCTTTGTCCCCATCCACTTGTGTTTTCCCTTGCTCTTGTGTGTGGCTTAATTTATGCTCTACAAATGCATGGTTCATGTTTATGAAGCAAACGCCAAGCGATGTGGAGGAGAACAAGCATGGGAAGCCTAACTAACACAGAGGCACTTTGTAAAGGGCTTCTCTGGCATTTCAACAAGCAAACTTCTGTAAATGGTACAGATTTGGGGACAGACATTTACAAGTGCCAATTCAAAAGAGACTTTTTTCTGCCTCTCTCTCACAGTACTGCTTCTCTCTCTCCTTTGTGCTTGCTGGATCTCTTTCTCTCTCTTGTATGTGTTTCTCCCTTTTTTTAACTGGCCTTTCTAAACTTGTCCAATTCAGGCTTTTGTCAAGGAAACATTCAGAACTGTGTAAAAGGGATCTGTTTTCAACATCTTGCACACAGCCTGGAGTAGCTTTTGAGCCCGCATAATTGCTTAACCTTCTTTAAACAGAAGAAAGAATGATAGAAAGAGCCAAAGGAGTTTAGCTTTACCTGCAGCTTGTTGGGTATCTGGGCAACATTGCAGGAGGGGTGAATGCAAAACTCCAGATGGATTTGTGGGAGCTGCAGTGGGAGGAAAAACAGAGCTGCTAAAGACATGCTTCTTGGGAGGAAAGATGCAGTTTCTATCTCACAATACCATTACTGAGCAAGGTGTCCAGATCCTTCTGAAAAACTGCTGTGGAATCAGGGAAGATGTAAGGGATGGCTCAGGTTAGAGTCGTTCAGTGATTTGACTCTTCACTCCATATGGGCTACGTAAGTGACCTTCCTATCCCCAACCTGCTCCAGGATGTGCTAACTCCAGCTCAGGAATCCCGTCGAGCAAGAGTCTACCCCTTCTTGGGCTTGCAGTTCGTGGTGTCTGACTAAATTATTGCCATATTATAGATTAGTTTTGACCTATTTCATGACTGATTCTTTGTGGGAGTCATCGAAAGGAGCAGGGGCTTAAGGTTTAGGACCAGAAGCCACTTTATTGAGCATCAGACCAAACTTAAATATTCTCCCAGTATGTGAGCATACACTGTCCACGTGCTTCCTCCCCCTGCGTCCAGCCAATTCCTTCCTATCGCTATCTGGGTCCAATCCTGCCAACGGACAACAGGTAACCAACCAGAGATCAGTGCGTCCAGCCTGTGTTTTAGGTTTCTCTATCTACTAATCTGTTATTCCTAACTTTTCACCGTTCCCACAGCTTCCCACAGTTTCTTATGGTTTCTCAGTTTCCCACAGTTCTTAACCTGCCATGCCACACTCCATTTCCACAATGGCAACCCTTTACCAACATGTGTCTCTCCCCTTAGACTTAAATTTTGTCACTTTGATGCTCTGAACGGGTACTCTGATGGGATTGTTTTTATCAGAAGGAGGCCTCCTCTGGATGATCTCCTCCTGTTGCAGGAGATCATCAAGAGGTTGCCCAGCCATTTCTACACTGCAGTCTGTGGCATGGGTTAGGATGTGACACTTGCTGCTCAGCTGTTGCCATGAGCTTTTCAGTGCCAGAATTTCTCCAGTTCATTAGATTGCACATGAAACCCTCTTTATGAAGGGCAGGGTATCCCTTCTGGAAAAAAAAAAAAGGAGTTTGAAATAACATGACATGGTTGGGACCCAAAATAACAAAGGAGTGGGGGAGGCTGCAGAGGTTGATAACTTCTCCAGCAGACAAGGACACCAAAAAGGGGTAGGCTATCAAGAGTCACCTTCTGAGACAGTGCTGGACAAGGCCATGATGGAAGAGTGGCAGGGGGGCATGTTCATAGACCTCGGAGGGGCTGGCTGCTATTCCCTGGTGCTTGGCAAGAGGAAGCTGCAGACCAGCCTCCTCCATCTCTGCGTGATAAGAACAAGATTGAAGGAACAAGCAGTAAACCAGGGCATATACCGTGGGCAGAGGCCTGGCTGGCTGCATAGTGGGGGGCCTGCTATGCCATCCTGTAGCAAACCTTCCCAGGTCCTGAGCATGACCTCCTCAACTTGCTTTGAGGTGTTGTGGCTCTCTATAACCCATAGATGAAACCAGTGACTGATGGGCCAGGCCTAACCCAATCCCAAGTGCCATGGAGCAGTACACTCTTTACCTCTATTTTCCTTGTTTCCAAAGGAGCAGGAAGGTTTTACTAGAGAGTGAGAAAATGCAGAGTGACTGGTCTTTGGGGCTGAAGAATAAAGACTATGGCAAGAAACAAGATTCAGAAACTGTTGTGAAGTCACTAAGTGGTCTCTGTAAGGAAAGTGGCTTTGCCAAAATAAAAGGAAGGTGAATTTGGCAGCAGTATCCTGGATGCAGTGGGAGAGTGCCAAATGGGAGTCAGAAATGTCATTAATCTCAATGGGAGTCTGCTGTCAGAAGTGCCCCTGGACTGGCATTGCATAATTAAAGTAACTGTGGGAAATTTGTAATTTCTTTTGAGTTGTTCATTACAGGATCATATTAGACGAGCTTTTGCCTTGTAACAGATTGTGTTCTGTTGTTTTAACTGTCTTAAAAGCTATTGCAATTTTGTTCCTCTATATTGATTAATTAGACTGAGTCATGATTTTACAGGAAGGTGCTCTGCAGTGTGAGTAGAGCTGCCAGTGCACAGACGTGCCACCTCTCCTCCCTCTGGAAGTCTGACATAATCAGGGAGGAATTCATGTTTGGTGCAGTCAAGGGTAGAAATTCTACATTTTGCCAGGTGGTGAGCTGCATTTCTCTTGTGTTCCCTGTTGCTGCTGTCAGAAATTTTTGTGATTTCCTTGGTCAGGCAAGATGCAATCAGAATTCCTGACTCCAACCACCAGCAGCTAGTGACCTTTTCAGTTCTCATTAAAGCCAGAGAGAACTAAGGAGGCAAAACACCTCAGAAAATTATGCTTCAGGTGACCAGGAAAAAAAAATTGCTCAGCCCTGTGGGAGTCTGAGATGTCTCCCTAGGTCTTGGCTAAAGGCTTGTATTTATGGCATGGAATATGGTAATAATTAGAATGCGATTATGGGGCCACATTTTGCCTTCAGCTACAGTAGTGTGATTTTGGTAGTATTCTGTGAGATGGTCTGACTTGGTTACCTTAAGGACATGGAGGAATTCCAAATTCGTATTCTGCAAAAGGCTAGTATGGTGGTCATAGGTCATAGCAGTCCTCTCAGACATGCAAGGTTGGTTTGTTCTTCCTTTCTCAGGAAATCAGTCTGAGCCCAGTGCATGAGATGCAGTGATACATGGGTATGTCTGACGTTGCTGGGTGCCTCACCAGGAAATCTGGCCATAGCACGTGACAGCAGCGTCCCCTTTGCATGCCTGGGGCTCCAGACCGTGTTTCACCTCCGTATTTCATGCCTTTTGCAGCCCGGCCCCGGTTCACGCAGCCTGCCAAGATGAGACGGAGGGTGATCGCCCGTCCTGTCGGGAGCTCCATCCGCCTGAAGTGTGTGGCCAGTGGGAACCCCCGGCCTGACATCACGTGGCTAAAGGACAATAAGCCCCTCACGCCCCAAGAGATTGGGGAGAACAAGAAGAAGAAGTGGACGCTGAACCTGAAGAACCTAAAGCCAGAGGACAGTGGCAAATATACTTGCCGAGTGTTCAACAAAGTTGGAGAAATTAATGCAACCTACAAAGTTGAAGTAATCCGTAAGTGTGGGTTCTGGCATGGGAGCGTGGGGAGGGAGCTGTGGCAAGGGAGCTAAATGAGTAAGAGAGCGTGGTAGTGACTATACAGTGCCAATAACTGGACACAGATATGGGGGAGTGCTACAGACATTGGGGGGGACAGTAGAAAACATTATTGAGGATCTAGAGTAGGGCTAGACCTGGGCTGGACTGAGTAGGATCCTGAATAATACAATGTAGTTGTCTGAAATGAAGAGAGAGACTGAGCGCATGGTCATGTGCAAGGGCACATTCATGGCAAACCTTCATGGTTGCCCAGTTCAGACTCATGTCACGGCTCGAGTGACACTTTAAGGACAAACTGAGAACCAGCTGCTCAGTCCTCGAAGGTACCTAAGAGAGGGGTGGAAATATCTGGAGTGGCCCAGATTACTCTATCAGAGTGGATGAAACCAATCAATGAAAAATTTCAGATAGATATCTGTCAGAAGAGATCCACTCACTAAAGAAGTCTTCCAAGGGACTTAGTAGAAATGTAATGACTGGAGTCATCAGCCAGACAAGGCTTTAGGGACAGATTTTAAAAGGCATTTATACATCTGAAGATTCAGGTGGGTACAAATGGGCTACTGCAAAAATCCCACTTGGCTGCCATCTGATGCCAACATAACTTTAAAATCTGGCCCTTAGAACATGAGCTATGGAGGATTATCCTGCTCTGCAGTGGGGTAAAGTAAATTGCTCTCCTTAGTGTCTAACTTTCCTGATTCTGGGACTCTAATCTCCTGCTTCCTCTATTATTACTGAAGATAATTACCCTCAGAAAGCTACCTAAGCCTAGCAGAGAAGAGTGGCTACTCTTAAATCATAGTGTTTTGCCCATTACATCATTGTGAGTTGTCATGGAAATTACTCTGAAGCAGCCAACTGAAGAAAGAGGAGAAGATGGGCTGAGTTGGGGGAAGATCGAATATCCTTCATTACTGAGGAGCAGGAGCATAAGGGCTGCTACCTGCCACATGGAAAGTGCGTTGTAGCTCTTTCTGTGCATGCATTTAACCATGAGAAAGTTTATCCCAGTGTGAAAGACCTTTCTTAAAGGTAAAGATCTGTTCTCTGATAAGTCCTTTCTCTAGAATAACAGGAATTAAAAGCACATGTGGGGAGCTCCACTGGGCTCCAAATCCACAAACCTGCTGGACATCTGGGATTGATAAAGATGCAGCTGTGTGGAGACAGTAAAAACATGTGTTTACACTAAAACCAGGAGCAGAGACAGGGAAATGAATCAAGCCCCATCCTAATGGCAGCTGTGGCATTTTCACTTCATCAAAACCAGACAGCACCAGGAACAAACCCTTTTCTGTGTCCCTGTTTATCTTGGTTTTTATCAACTTAAAGATGTGTGTAACCTTTGTTTTCATTAGCTTTTGCTGGCTAGGAGTGAAAACAGTAACCAAAGCTGGAACCAGAACCAAGTAGATAAGAGCATTAAGTAGTTTTCAGACATGTTTCTATTTTTAACATGGTTCTGTAGAGCATTTCAGGTTTTATTCAATTTCCTCCCCTTCCATTTTTTTTCCCCCAAGCCTCCACTCTTAAGTCTAACCTGCTTATCTGAGTCTTAGTCTCCCCAGCTGTGATTCCTGCTCGTGGTCTTTCGGCACAGTCTGCGGAGAACAATGTGGTATTTCTGCTGCTCCGGCAGCGTTTCCCCAAGCACATCTTAAAAGCCTGCATTATTGATAGCATCCTGACTGCTAAAAGAAGGTCCATTGTTCCTTTTCTCTCACCTCCAAGACGGTGGTGGTGGCAGCTGTGTTGTTACATGCTCGATCCTGCAGCGTTTGCTGTCAGAAGAGGCTGATCATTGCCAGCAGTTTCCGCACGCTGTTCTCCCGTAATTTCACTTCCTGCACTACTTGCAGTACCTCCCATCCCACTAATTTTGCTGATGCTCATGGTCAGAAAGATCCTAGTTCCTCAGAAATGGGAGATATATTGTATTTTTCCTTTGACTTTACATGAGGTAGCACAACCCAAGGCTTGCCATCATGCTGGGAAGGATGGTCTCATGAACATACAGAACCCCTCATGTTTGATGTTCTCTCTCACCATCTTGTTTCCTTCACCAGCTGACACTGAAGCAAGATTTACATGGGAAAGGGAAGGTTTTCTTATTGGGTAAACTATGAGGAGCTGCAGTGGTTCTAATGTGGACTTTCTGTAGATACACATTCATAAACAACCCATAATTGGTTCATATTAGAGGTAGGAAGATTCGGGTTAGACATGAGAAGACTTGCTAAGGCTCAAGGCAGTGGAGGAGTTGTCTGGAGAGGTGGTAGAGCCTCTACCTTAGAGGCTGTGGCAGAGGCTGGACAAATTTTTATTTATTTAGAAAACATTTTGAGAGATCTCAACCTGCCTTGGGCTGGATGTTTTTCCACATGCCTTCTATGCTTTGTTCCTATGTTTTGCAATCGTGAGTTAATCAGGTTGGCCATCGCATGTTTTTCCATGGAGCTGCCTGTGTTTTTGTGCAGAGAGGACGAGGTCCAAGCCCATCCTGACGGGGACGCATCCTGTCAACACAACGGTAGACTATGGCGGGACCACATCCTTCCAGTGCAAAGTCCGCAGCGATGTCAAACCCGTCATCCAGTGGCTGAAGAGGGTAGAGTACGGCACGGAGAGCAAGTACAACTCCACCATTGACGTCGGGGGCCAGAAGTTTGTTGTGCTGCCCACAGGAGAGGTCTGGTCCCGTCCTGACGGCTCTTACCTGAACAAACTGATGATTACTCGAGCCAAGGAAGAGGATGCAGGAATGTACATTTGCCTGGGGGCAAACACCATGGGCTACAGCTTTCGCAGTGCTTTTCTAACAGTCCTGCCAGGTGAGTTGTTCCTTTTTCCCCAAGGAACCCAAGCTCGGCATTGTGGTATTCATTAATGCAACTGCTGTTGCCCATCCTCACCTCATTGGGCTCCATGGGCCCCTGTGATGCAGTGTTGACAGACTAGCCTGGTTCTGTTAAGTGAAGGACCATATACTACTGCCAGTTTGTGCTTGCTGGTAGTTCTTCTTCCTTCTCCGTGGGGAGTAATGATTCCAGATTTCCAAAGGTGAAATAAAATCAGCTTGAAAATACAGAAATTGGAGCTGGGAGATCATACTGCAGTTGCAGGCTCTAGAGAGAGGAACTGGATAGCTGCTGAGTTTGCAGCCCCCTTGCCTTAGTTTTCTCCTTTCTTTTGCTTTTATTTGTATTGCCCTTCTGGTGAAACAATGAAATAGACCCATAAAATGAGCGAAGAATGAAAACTGTCCCAGTCACATGGAAAGGAAAAGAGCTGGTGCAAAAGAGAGACAGATTGGTTAGTTAAATTCTTACCCAGTGCTGGGCCGGGAGCCATTGTGCCACACTCACAGCTGCGTCCCACCCCCGGCCTTAGAGCTGTGACCAGCTGAGGCCACACCATGTACCCCAGGCATACCCTCCTTGCTTTGCAACTTACTCCTTTGCTTCCTCAGAGTGCACTTCTGCTTCTGTATATAATTTTTTTTTATTAAAATGGTATCTCCTTTTTCCTCCTTTTGCCATGTGCATCTAGCACTAGATCTACCATCTTAGTAAAATCAATCTTACCACTTTTTCTTCCTTCTACCACTACAAGGCTAACACAGCTAAGAATGTGCAAGAGCTGGAGCCAGGATTCTAACACTTTAGCTATCAGGTATAATGGAGTATCTCCAGTCCAGACAACAAAGAGAGACAGAGACCTTTAACCCCCCCCAGACTCTTAGGACCAGTTTTCTGTGCACTTAATGGGGAAAATTCTCATGACTCCAGTAACTAAGGCAGCATTGCTACTTCTGTATGCTGAGTGCCATATTGGCATCTCGGTAGTCACTGGGAGTCATTATCTCAAATTTAAACACCAACAGCAAGTTCCCAAGTAAGAGAAAAATCTGGATGCAGCTTTGGTTCCTTCTTCGGTATAACTTGGATTTGGGGAATAAACTCTGACTAGAAAGCATGTCACTCCTAAGGATAAGCTGTGTGGGTGAGATGTAATTTGAAGCCACTGGGAGTTTCCAAAATGGAAGAGTCTGATCCAGCTCCCACTGAAATCAGTGGGAGACTTTCCATTGATTTAAATGGGAATATAATGAGGCCTCATACCAAAACCAGAGCTTGCAGCCCTGTTGTCATTGGCAGTGATGGAGAAGGAGAACCCAGCTTGCTCTCAGAGGCAAAGATGTGGTTGTGAGGCCATGAGTTAGAAAAACATAGTTCTGCTTGTAAGTGTACCAGATTTGACATAGGCAGCTCAGAAAAACAGCACGGACGATTATCAAAATGTCAGGCTTTCATTTCAGCCCAGCAGAGGCTTTCTGCCAACCAACATGAAGAGTGTTGTTTTCATGGTCAACTGATGGGTCAGTTCCCTCATCCTGCCTTCTCTTCAAGGGGGAACTGGACCAGACGACCTCCAGAGTCCCCTTCCAGCCTGCATTATTTCTGTGATTTCCAGTGTTTGTGGATCAAAGTTTTGTCTCTTGAGGTCAACAGCATAGTTCTCTCTGACTTCAAAAGGACCACATGGTATATATTTAATATTTCAAACAAGCCGTAGTTGTCAAGGGGAGAAAAAGACAGCAGTGTCTTAAGGAAGTTTAGCATAGATATGCCTGCTGGAGGCTAATGGGGCAGCTCTTGTTCTGTGTCTTCCAAGCTGGACATCAAAGCCCGCTCTACTGTGGAGTGAGGCTCTTAGCAGACCATCTCTTGGGGTGGCTTTAGTGAAGATGTTAAAAAATGGATAATAAATTTAAAAAATAATATATTTTTTAAAAGTTTTTGTTTTGTTTTCACTCCCAGGAGCACCACACCCAGAGAAAATGAGCCATTTTGGTAACACAGTTACCAAAGGTAACTACCTTTAATTAACCCTTTCCATCTTCCCCTCTTCTTGCCGCGCAGATCCCAAGCCTCCGAGCGCTCCCGTGCCGCCCTCCTCGGCCAGCAGCCTGCCCTGGCCCGTCATCATCGGCATCCCGGCCGGAGCCGTCTTCATCTTCGGGACGATCCTGCTGTGGCTTTGCCAGACCAAGTCTCCCAAGGACCGGCCCTCGCCCCGGCCATGGCGCCCAAAATGTACCCAAAGATTTACACGGACATCCACACCCACACCCACTCGCACGTGGAGGGCAAGGTCCACCAGCACCAGCACATCCAGTACCAGTGCTAAGCGTGCGCCCGCGGACAGCAGCTCGCCCTGGGCTTTTCCTCTTGGTACCTCAGAAGAGACTGCTCCGAGTCAGCTCGCACTGCCAGCAACGGGCAAAGCCGACGGAAAAGATTATATATATATAGTTTTAAATATATATATACATATATATAT